ATCTGGAAATAAACGAACATCGAGAAGATACAGGGAAACCTCTAATAGGTACCCATAAGTTCTATAGGAGTATCCTATTGGGGGGGGGGGGGAGCGGGGTACCCATAGATCCCCAAGTGCTATTCTATGGGGGTACCCATAGGTCCCCAAGGGCTATCCTCTGGACGCACTCATAGGTCCTCACGGGCTATCCTATGGGGGTACCCATAAGACCCCAAGGCCTATCCTATGGGGGCACCCATCGGTCCTCAAGGACTATCATATGGGGGTATCCATAGGTCCTCAAGGGCTATTCTAAGATGCCACCTATAGGTCCTTCATGGCTATCCTATGGGGGTACCCATAGGTTCCCAAGGCCTATCCTATGGGGGTACCCATAGGTCTTTCAGGGCTATCCTATGGAAGTACCCATAGATCCTCTAGGGCTATTCTATGGGGGTACCCATAGGTCTCCAAGGGATCTCCAATACTGGTACCTATAGGTCCCCAATGCCTCTGCTATAAGAGTACCCATAGGTCTTTCAGGGCTATCCTATGGGGGTACCCATAGGTCCCCAAGGGCTATCCTACGGGGGTACCTATAGGCCCACAAGTGCCATTCTATGGAGGTACCCATAGGTCCCCAAGGCCTATCCTATCGGGATACCCATAGGTCACCAAGTGCTATCCTATCGGGGTGCCTATAGGTCCACAAGTGCCATTCTATGGAGGTACCCATACGTCCCCAAGGCCTATCCTATGGGGGTACCCATAGGTCCACAAGTGCTATGCTATGGGGGTACTTATAGAACCCCAAGTGCTGTCCTATGGGGGTACCTATAGATCCCCAAGGGCTATCCTTTGGGCGTATCCATAGTTCCCGAAGGCCTATCCTATGGAGGTATCCATAGGTCCTCAAGGGCTCTCCTAAGAGGGTACCTATAGGTACTCCAGGGCTATTCTATGAGGGTATCCATAGGTCCTCAAGGGCTATCCTAGCGAGGGACTGATAGGCCATCAAGGGCTATTATATTGTGATACCCATAGACTCTGAAGAGAGTAAGGCAATAGGGAGATAAGGCTGCAAGGAATATAAGGCTATAATGCCGAAGGGTATATGAACTATAAAATATGTGCGATATGAGAGTATGAGGCCGTAGGGCTATTCATCTATATACATAATATTGAGCGTCTGTATGTATTTTAGCGGATGAAAAGTTGAATGTCTGAGGTCATGGGTTAAAGGACAAAACAGCCGTGCAGTATGCATGGGTTCTCGCTAGTT